CCCCGCAGAAGTGAGGGACTTCTCGGGAGCTGGCTGGAGGCAGACAGGGTACTCCCTAGAGAGCCAGCTCCCTGCACCTCCGGCCCAAGGCTTGTCAAGCCCCTCATGACTTGGGCAGGAAGAGCATTTATACCAGTTTCTCTTCTTTTTAGTCATCACTTCCCAGGACCTTCTCTCTGCTCTGGGAACTTCAGGCTGGCCTCTGGGCCATCAGGGCAACCCTGAGCCCCTCTCTCAGGCTGGCCATTTTCTCTGGCATCCTCTGGTGGAGAGTGTCCTTGTCCTGGGCCCTGCCTGTCCTGCCCACCAGCCCTGGCTGGACCTGCCCCAGCCTGGATAAAGAAAACCTTCTGCCTGAAAACTGAGAAGGCTTGAGAAGTGGGGCCAGGCTTCCTGCCTCACCTGCCTAGCAGGTTCCTTCCACACAGGGGCAGGTGCCATCTCCCTCCCTGAGGCAGGGGATATCCCTGGGGGCCCCAGGAAAAGCAGAGTGGGAAGGCCCAGCTGTGCCCCTGGGAACCTTCCAGCCCTTCTCCTTCCCCAGTCCCTGGGCGCCCAGCACCTCTGGGAGCTGGGCGGTAAAGGGGACCATCTCCAGGAGGATGGCAGGTATTGGCTGTCTGGGGCTGGTGACTGGCCTGCAGCAGGACAGAGCTGAGGTCTGAGAGCTGGCAGGCAGGGCACAGAGGTCCTCCTGCTTCCCCGATTCCCACTAGCAGCCGCCTTGTCCCTAGCGCAGGCTGGGCTGGGGCTGGGGCTGGGGCTGGCTGCCTCACCTAGGCCAGCACAGCCAAGGCGCCCGTAGATGCCTGCCAGTCCCAGTGCTCAGCCTCCTGTGTCTACAAGCCAAGGGGCACCAAGGAGGGTTGGCACCACTGGGAGCTGGAAGAAGCTGCAAGGATCCTCCCATAGAACCTTATGGCAAGGGTGTGGCCCTGCCAACACTTTGATTTTAGGTTTCTGGTCTCCAGAATGTGAGAGTAGATGTGTGTGTGTGTGCATGTGTGTGTGCGTGTGTGCGTGTGTGTGTTTTAAAAGAATAGTTTATTGATTTTTAGATAGACAGGAAGGGAGACGAGTGAAACATCAATGTGACAGCACATCAATCAGCTGCCTCCTACAGGCTGCCTACCAGGGATCGAGTTTGAAACCATCATGTGCCCTGACTGGGGATCAAACCAGCAACCTTTCAGTACATGGGACAACCCCAACCAACTGAGCCACACCAGCCAGAGCAAATTTATGTTTTTGTTTTTAAATATATTTTATTGATTTTTTACAGAGAGGAAGGGAGAAGGAGAGGGATAGAGTTAGAAATATCTATGAGAGAGAAACATCGCTCAGCTGTCTCCTGCACACTCCCTACTGGGGATGTGCCCGCAACCAAGGTACATGCCCTTGACCGAAATCGAACCCGGGACCGTTCAGTCCGCAGGCCGACACTCTATCCACTGAGCCAAACCAGTTAGGGCAAATTTATTTTTTTTTAAGTCACCCTGTGTATGGTACTTTGTTACAGCAGCCTCAGGAAGCTATTACACGTATACAATCCCCATAGGCAAGTATACACACACACACACACACACACACACACACACACACGTGCACATGAACACATTTACAAATGCTCAAACACATTCCTTCTTTGCAGCAATATTCAGTGAGTACTTCCTGCCTGTGTGCCAGGCCCTGTGCCGGGCAGTGGACGGAACTGTGCTCTCGTGGAGCTGAGCTGGGAAGGGGCAGTGGCCCGTCTGTATCCACCTTACCATCCAGAGGTGTATGAAGACCTGCAGGTGATTACATCAATACAGGAGGAAGGGTGGCAGGGGACAGCCAAGTGAGGGGAGCGGTGGGGAGGATGAGGAGGGTCCCGTGGCTTCTCCTGGGCAGGCAGGTCTGGCAGCCCCACCCCAGGCACCTGGAGCCAATGTACTAACACTTTACTTTTGGTTCAGTTCAAGGAAGGCTCCATTCCAAACCCTCTTTCTGGGTAGGAAGGGCTCTTCCCTGCCTTTCTCCCTGACCAGGAGGCTGGCAGAGATGAGGCCTCACAGCTCCTGTAGCCTGAGCTGTGGTTTTTTGGGGGAAAGCATATAAACAGAAGCGGCTGGCAGGGAAGGGACAGTCCAGCTTTAGGTCAGCTGGGCCTGCTTGGCAGAGTTTGGGGTGGGTGGCCATAAGCTTCTGAAAGAACAAACGGGAACCTGGAGGGCACAGGGTCTGAGGACTCTGCTCACCCGCGCTGGGGGCACGGGCAGCTGGCGGGGGCTGACTATATCTCAACCGGGGTCGGGTGCTCCGGCCGAAATGGAATCGCTTTACCTCCTGCGCTGGCTCCCCACCGCATCAGTCCAGAAGAAACCGCTCCTTTGCAGGACTGGGCAAGGATCCCGCATAGACCTTCGCACCCACCCGCCCTGTGGTCCCTGCCAACAGCGGGATGACCTCTTGGGGAGCTCCAAGCATGCTGTGCGCCTACGGGGCAGCTGAGACCAGGCTGGGGAGCTGCGAGGCAGGCTCCAGAGCAGGAGAGTCGCCAGAAGGAGTCAGTGCATCCTAGGCCCCGGCCGGCACACTGGGGGCGCTGCCAGGGGCCAGGGCCGGGCTCGGCTCCGGCTCCAGGCCCC